AATAAATGGTGCAGGCTATTTTCTTTAATGCCCTAGATATATTTTTAAAAAAATAAGCTGAGCACAAAAGGAGAAAGGAGTATAGTGCTAGATCGAAAGGTCATTTTGGACCAATTTACTTTTTTTCTTTTCTTCTGTACTCCTAAAAAGAATTTTGCAAAACTGTATAACCCTCACACATTTTTTACATTGTAAATCTAATGTTTGTCATGGGTTTAAACAGTGACAAAGGATGAAATTTCTAATGTAAATAGGGCCATTTAAAAACCAGACTCTCACATAACTCTTGTGAATGTATCCAACGGAGTCTGAATGCCATAGCTATTTGATACCCACCATCATCCACTGAAAAAAATTCATGAACAAGTTCTTCAGTTTGAGATGAAAATTTTAATTGTTTTTTCCCATGATCTCATATTTCCATTCCCTTCGCTCCTAAAATTTTATCCTAACATACCTTAGTAAATTCGGTTCAACATCCATTTATTGATCACTGTATCATACTTTCTGTAATAAATATGAATTTAAATTGAAACTTAAAACTTTCTAGAATTTTCTGTCACCACAGATTCAAAGTATTTAAAAAATGTCTTCTGGGTTGAGTTTTCATTACCATTATTATTCATATATAACCAATAAGAAAAGAATGTAAATATATTGGAAATGTTAATATTAATTATTGACTATAAAGTAAAAATTTATTGGAAATCTAGCCCTTAATGAGACAGATAGTTATTTTTTTTCAGTTAGTTTACATATCCATGGATGAATGCTACTTATTACTAGAATGGGAAAAATCTAGCATTAATTCTAATTTTTGTTTATATTAATGTAAACACTAAGAAAACTTACAAATAAGTATGTAGGAATGGAAAAAGTTTAACTAACAGTGTTACTCAATTCTTTTAATTCTGTGTTAGAATTGAAATCACACAATGGTCTGTCATCAAAATATATTTTTAATGAATCTACCAGCTGATATCAGCACTTCCTACAATTTTTTTTTTTTAAGCAAACATTGGCAACTATCCGACTTGCAAGAGTATTTGTTTTCCAGTGAATCATGCACATTTAGAATTGTTACTTTATTTGATACTGCAGAGTTTTTACACTTTGGAGCAGTGCCCTGTGGTAGTTAAGATTTAGAATGGGTAAAGGAGAAGGGCAATTGTGAAAGAGAAGGTGTGAGTGGAGAACAGATTTCTCCATCACAGGTGTTGCCAGAAGATGAATTTCAGCAAAAAATACATATGAAAGTGGAGGAACAGAACACTGATTTCCTAAAAAAAACAAAACTCTGATGGCCTTGTAAGGGCCTTGTATTTCCATGTACCCCAGTTTAAGGCCACTGCTTTAGAGAACCATCTTTATATGTAAATGTCTAAAACCAGTTGCCGTGGAATTGACTTCCACTCATGGCAACCTCACCATGTGTGTCAGAGTAGAACTGTGCTCCATAGGGTTTTCAATGGCTAATTTTTCAGAAGGAGATCACCAGGACTTTCTTTCGATGCTCCTCTGGATGGACTCAAACTTCCAACCTTCCAGTTAGCAGCCGAGCACAAACCACCCAAGGATTCGTCTTTAAATGTCTAGGTGTTCTGAAATATCATGAAATGCTCTGTTAGTCTCCCTTTCCTTATGGATGCAGTAATTCGTCTTTACTTTTATTTACCTCTTGCCTTATCTCAAACTCTTCCTTAACAAGGAGTTAAACTGAATCTTCTGTCTAGAGATGGTATGACCATAGTCATTCCCTGAGAAGTGCAAGACCGCTTCTCATTACCATTGAAGACCATGGGCTCTGTTATTGTATTTATGCTATTTTATTCCAATTGTAAGAAATATTGTCTATACCAATGCAGTGATACACCCCTGAAATTTCCAGATTGACAGGCTCCACCAATCTGTGTCCCAGATAGTTGCTAAATGTCTCTTTCGCTCAATGCTGAGTGGATCCCATGGTGTTCTTTGAAGTGTTGGCATACCTGTGCTTTATTTTGTGCTCAGTTTGCCTTCTTTTGCTTCTTGCATAAAACTCTTCTTGGTCCAGTTTTATTTTTTATGGGAAAGAAGGGACATCTAAACCTACTGTGCTTAAGCTTGAATTTTTCTTTAATATCTTTATTAGTTAGAGGCTTTGTGGTAGCTAGCTTCAGAGAATTTATGCCCTCCTGGCTCATTAATTATTCCCCTTGTAGGTGAGGCGTTTTCCCACCTCCCTATTCTTGAAACTCAATTACATAACAGTATATCATGCCTAACATACTTCAAATCCCCAGGGGTGGCTTAGAAGGTACAAATGGAACATCATTAAGGCTGGGACACTGGTTTGATGCTTAGAAATGGATGGAATGTTAGACCTCATCTTTCCTAAACTCATCAAGAAGAAAATAAAGTGTGGAGCCTCCCAGGTTTCTCTATTTCTGTTGACTTCCCAGCTCTCTGAATTGGAAGAACTGGACTCATCTCCTGCACAGGAAAGCTTTCTTCTAGACTTAACTAGAAATTACACCTGAAATCCGTCTGGCAGATCCCTTCGACACCCACACCTCCTTGTCTTGGTTAAGGAGGAATTGCTGAAACAAAGTATTTCAGTATTTCCAAGAACCAGAAGTATTTTTTGTTAGAGCTTTGGCTCATCATTTATAAGCTGTTGTGATTCTCTATCATCATTAATACCTTCTCTAATACATGCTTTTTATAACACAGCAGGGAAAGGGGGAGAGGAGGGGACTAGTGATTTTCTGGAGAATTTAGACGTTGATTCCAAAGAAAATTCTGCCCCCAAACCGTTCTTATGGAGCTTGTCTTCTGATTTTTAACCCAATCCTCCACACTCGAGGATGCCCGTCTGATTCCGTTTCATTCTCACCTTGCATCCTAGCACAGTACCTAGCACATTGTGGAGGAAGACTCCTGCCTCAGTTTCTGATATCCTTGTCTCCTTCTGGGGTGGCCAAGTCTGTAAAATGGCGGTTTGTTCTTCAGGGC